TAACCACAATCAAGTTGCTTAACATTTCTTCGAAAAAACTTAAGATTTGTTTATGTCTGATTTATGGGAAGTTAATCTATTAGTGCTTGTTTGACAATTATGATTGTATTTCTATGTTGATTTATCTTCAATATAGATAAATGTTGAGATCAATGGAATAACCCGCATAAAATATTTGAACGTCGCATCATCTTATGACAATGATGTTATTTTGAAACTGAATGCCTTTTTCGACACTCTAGACTACAATAAATAGGGTTGGAGTATAGAACTGTAAGCACGGTTGGAACTCCTTTTCTTTGCGAACGATATGTCGAGTGGAAGTAGTCTAAGGTGTTCCTTAACCAGTCTACCTGCACCTAACAGAAATATGTTTATGCGTGTATATGTTCTTTGAATTGGTTTGTACTAATTCTAAAATAATATTAAGAATTAAGATGTTTTTATGTTATAAATCATAAGCATAATATTTTTAATAGTTTTCATTACATGTTTGGAAAGTATAAAATTCAAGCAGATTCTATAATTCATTTGGATTCATCGAGTTCCATTTAGACTTATTAACTTAACGTTTAATAGAACAATTATTTCTGAAAGTGTATTATGTTTTTAAAATAATTTATTTGGCTATATTTAAAACACATCACAATACAAACAATAAAAATACTAATTTTAAAAAATCTAAAATCTAAGCACTCCACATTTTGACACATCAATTTGAAATTATTATTTGAAAAAAAAATAAATTAAATCTGTGAGAAGTCGGACTTCAGTCACTCACGACTTGGACCAGCAAATGGGCTTACTACTAGCCTTGACATGATGTTGGGCTCAAGCTATGGTATGGCCCATCACATAAGGCTTCTAGGATTCCTAGCTATAAATACAAGAGTGTGGCACAAAGAAAACCTAATCCTGAATCCAAAGGATTCCGAGCGCCTCAACGGCGGCTCGTAGAGCAAGAGAGAGCTAGAGCGGTGTTTTCTTTGTATCTAAGCTTTGGTCGTACTATTTCTTCTTCCTTGTTTCTCCTTGTACTCTCTCGGATTGTTTAACCGGAGATAGAGAGAGTGAATGATCTTCTTGTGTAAACCACGTTGGAGGTGTTTTCCGATCTTCATAGTGGATGCAGTTGTGGAGGAGAGTCTCCACCCCTGAGACGTAGCTTCAGTAAACTCAGGGTGAACATTTGTGGTGTTAATGTTTGAATTGCTTTGTATGTTTAATATATGTGAATCGAACAAATAGTTTGGGACAGGATTTAGGCATTAAATCCTTAACAAAATCCATAGTAAGGTATGCCGTTCAAATGTATTATTTTGATTCATTAACTTTTTGATAAACTTTCACCAATCAAAAACAATTAAATGGCTATAGAAAATTTCCCAAGAATAACAATAAATACTAATCCCTTTGACATTTTCACAAATTAAAACGTTACTACTAACAAAATCTTCCACCTTCTGTTTTAAAACGATGGCCTTCTATCTTACAATTTTTTTACTTATTTACATACATTTTAAAAAAAAAATTAAATGAATAATCAAGTGAAAATAATATATAAAGAAAATAATTTGTTGTCTAAAATCT